GAAGAAATCGATGGGGATACTTTGTTAGCGGGCACTCGGTATGGAAGGTGACCAGTGATGGGCCCTCTTTGGCTGAGCATATGGTTTCGATTGAACGCTTACAGTACCTTACTGAATTAACTTACCTTACCTTACTTACCTTGCAGCTTACTGAATCAAGTTGCCATCAGTCTGTCCGACAGACGCTGTCGTCACCGACGGCCTATTTGTGTTGTTGTACCCCATCGACAGCATTGTGCGTGATGCCTCGCCACCATGTGACTTGGCTCAGGGGAAGCCTTCGGAACTATATGCATCCCTTAAAGCCGAGCTTCGCCAACGTTGTTTTGACCCTACAGATGTCGTGCCACTTCGACAACAGTTCAACACGCTCTCGCAAGGGCCTTCTTAACCCTAGTTCATCATTTGCAAGTGCTCGACAACATTGTGAATAGATTGAGATTAAATGGCATCTGCGTTTCGGACGAGGATATCTATGATAGTCTCTGCAATAATCTACGAGAGCCATACGCGGATTGGGCTCTTTCCTATCGATTGGACGGTGTGTCAGTACAATGGGCTCGTATAAGGCCCATTAGCCGTGCACGCGCTCCGTTGCCGATTCCGAATCGGTTGGTTTCCAAACCTACCCTACGACAGGTTCCGGTGGCTGCTACGGCTGCGATTGCTTCCGGTGTTAGCAGCAAATCTATGCGGATAGATTATGCTCATCTATCCAGGGAGAACGGATGCTTTCATTGCCTAGAGGTAGGCCATACTGCCATGGCTTGTTAGGAGGATCTCCCAGCTCATCTCTCGGTACGATGCCTAGGCTGTGGCCCAATAGGGCACAGCAGGAGCGATTGCAAGTTGTTGGCTGGTAAAAAGGTCACCTGTATGCATTGTGGAGGACAGGGCACACTACTGCTATGTGCCGCTCCCTTTCGAGAGCTGAGGCTGTGGCTAGGGAGCCAACAGCTGTGGAAGCATACATTAATAAGAAGCTATCTCCGACTACTTCGGCAGCGACGTGTGTTGAAGAATCTCCTTAGCAACGTGCACTTCCGGCAGATGAACAAGCGGCTCCGATAGCTGAACGTGGAGCCAATGAAGACGGTGAGGGAAACTTTGATGTAGCTAATGCGGTTTTTACTAGTTGGTTGGATACTGTCATTGACAGTCCTTATGGTGCGGCTTTAACTGATCCTACTCTCTGTCATGGTATCTCTTTTGTATATTGATGAACTTTCGAATCCATCTCCGTTGATCACAGACATACAGTTGTCACCTCGGAATAGCCATATCACTGATATGTCACAGTCATAGCGCCTGATATGATATCAGTCGCTATGACTGCAGAGCACTAGTGGATACTGGAGCTGGTAGGAGCTTCATTCGATTCGATATGCTTAATGAAGTACCACATTCTTTCATCGTTGATCTTCGTGATGTTAATATAAGCGTTATGGTTGCTAACGCTGAGGAGTTCGTCTGTAAGCAAGCTGTGATGCTTGATGTTACTACCCCTCAGTTGACAAAGTCCATTTGGTTTTTTATTGTGAAGAGTATATCTTTCCCCTTATACTTGAACTTGATGCTATACGACGGCTCCAATAATTGGCTCCAAAAATCAACAATTGGAGTCCAATTGTTGATTTTTGCTTCACCGGAGAGGATTCTCCTCAAGACTGGCTTGACCGAGAAGGAGGCCGGTCGTTGTGCTGGCAACCGAGAGCATGAAGTTGCTAGTACGAATAGAGGAGACATTTCTGTTTATTCTCCGGGCGAGTCGCCCGGAGGAGGCTGCCTATTAAACCCTCGCCGGGCGAGGGAAAGTCCACGACCCTCATCATCATCAATCTTGTCGTGTAAGCAGTCCGGATGGAAGGAGTATCCAGAAACTCCGACATGTTGTTGGAAGGCTGCTGATAGTTTCTTGAGGTCATCAACGACAGGCCAGGGGAACTCAAAGTCTTGTACGTTATCAGCGAGTTTGTAGTGCTGACCCAATACTGAGTGGACGGTTTCTCAGCATAATCTCTTGCGTGCCGTGCGTTCTGGAGAAATGCGATCTCTATCAAAAGTGGCTAACGATCGTGTCAGCTAGTCTGCCATGGAGTGCGACTGAGTTTATTCTCTGTCAACCACATGCGTTGGTTAAAACACGAGATTCTGAGCAAGGTTTGAAAAAATCCTGTTGGTTTCTGTACATTTCTAACTCAACTCGTATATGAACCTCTTGAATCAAGAGTCTTGATTCAAGAGTCTCGAATCAGTGAGGGAACTCCAGAGCTTAGCTGAGGAAAGTGAACATATGTTGCAAGTTGCAACCTGCAACACAGTATTCGCGGCATTTGCAACTATAACTCAGATAACTGGACCTATGACTCGGCTTCAGATCATCAAACACAATTACCGATACTCTAACAAACTCATAGCGATACTCTAGCGATACTCTGAAACCCTAGCGATACCCATGCAACCAGGTAAGTGTATATAATATAGTTGAGATACTGCAGAGAATCTATGACTCGGCTTCAGATCATCAAACACAATTACCGATACTCTAGAAGTGATACTTGATTCCGGAATTGCAACCAGATAAGTGTACCCGATCAGCAGCCATGAAGTGGCTCATTAAACTTTGCCCTCTCATAGGCCACGTACTGGGCAACAAGTATAGGCTAGGGAGAGTTCCTGAACTGATCGGCCGGAACTGTTCCCCGATCGGGTGTCCGTTCGAAGCGGGATCACCCGATCAGCAGCCATGAAGTGGCTCATTAGACTTTGCTCTCTCATAGACCGCGTATTGGGCAAGAAGTATAGGCTAGCAAGCGTAACTGGGCCAATCGGACGGAACTATTGCCCGGTCGGGTATCGCTTCGAAGCGGGATCGCCCGATCAGCAGCCATGAGTGTGGTTCATTAGAGTATCCCCTTCTGTAGTCAGCATAGTGGCAAACACGTATAGACCAGCGAGTTTTCCTGAACTGATCGGACGGAACTGTTTCCCGATCGGTTGTCCGTTCGAAGCGGGATCACCCGATCAGCAGCCATGAAGTGGCTCATTAGACTTTGCCCTCTCATAGACCACGTACTGGGCAAGAAGTATAGGCTAGCAAGTATTCGTGAGCTGATCGGCCGGAACTATTCCCCGATCGGGTATTCCTTCGAAGCGGAATCACTCGATCAGCAGCCATGAGGTGGCTCATTAGAGTGTGCCGAGAGCCTTGCGCGGGATCATAGCCTTGGACAACTCCTCGACCAAAAACCATCTTCGTGTCATGCCATCTCGTAATCTTCGTAAGAGCACACCTTCATGAATCATGGCCCCGCCACTGACTTAGTCAGTGGCGCAATCTTGGCTGGTCGCTGGTCAGACCAGCGATGAGGCAACGAGTGATCAGCGGGATATCTGTGTCAGAAATGGATTCCTTTCCCTGTTTCATGAGTGCACATTAGTGTTGTCCCAAGTAGTTCGCTAGACGGGTGCCTTCCATCAATCAAGCTACTCACCGTGGGATGGGCCCGTCACTGTGAAGTTATCTCAACGTGACATGCCGAGCTGGGTGTTCGGCTCCCCTCCCGTCATACCAAATTAACTTACCAGTTGCGACCGGCGTGAGGCGAGAACGGTACGCGTATGTGTGCAGCAATAACGTGTAAGCGATTCGGAAGCTCACCTCTCACCCAGCGTTCGTACACCTTGATAGATGGTCGGTGTCACCGCACATGTTAATAACCCACTCCTGGGCGCGTGGGTCTGGTGGGCTGGAAGACAAAAGGTGTCTCTGGCTTCCAGCCCTCGAGGCATCGAGTTAGTCCGACGAGGGCCTCTGCTGGTGCCGCGCACGTTGCGCTCTACCGGGCGCGCCGGCGGTGCGACGCCGCGCACGGTCGACCAACCGATGCTCGCTCCCGGGAGTGGCGGACTGGGTTGGAAGAAATCATACACGGCATATCGTATGCCGTGCATGAATTCTTTCAATTATGCCGCACACGCCGTCTGGTTCCGTGAGGCTGCGACAATGTTCGGCCGCACGGGTCGTTTCACGACGCACCCTGGATACGGGTGGAGGACTTACCGCGGATGATATGCACGTGTGTGTCGGAGACGCACTGTGTGACACGCCCTCCGTATCGGTATTTAACTTGTGTTAACTAGCTAACACTTACTAATGTGGTGCAGCTAGTCGTAGCTAGTAGGAGCGTCAGGTTCAACCGATGTGACTCACATCATGTGAGTCATACACACACTATGAGGTTAACGGGTGCTAAATCCTACGACCCGCAGGCGGCAGGCTACCGCCCAAGAGCATATCCTCATGCAGGGTTGGCCGGGCCAACTTGGGCCAACTCTGGGCCAACTTGGCCCAGACTAGTCTCGTCTGCGGACCGAGCCGCAACGGTTACGATAATCTACTGATAGCATGGCACGCTGGACTCCTAAATCCTGCAGACGCGAGCTGTTTCGAGTTGGGGGGACTAGAGATGAGACACTTGACTCTGTGACCAATGCTCGGGTAGCTTATTCACATCGGTTCGCTGACTCATCCTCTGGTCAGTATTGGTCAGTATTTCGGGCTTCAGGTTTGAGGTTTGGTCAATACCTCTCCCATCCCCAGCGTCTATGGGATTTCTTCCACTAGAAACCCAGCCGACACTAGAAGTTCTGTAACCGCGTCAACTTCGGTATCGATCAGAATGGCGTACGCTACTCCAGAGTACGCACTACACTCGTGGTGTGGTTCCGTGTTCACGCATATTTCTCGGGAGACCTTCTTCCGAGTAAGTCTACCACGCTTCCCAGGATCAGACATGCCACACTGATGACGATTGATGCTTTTTCACTATTCCAAAGAACCGACGGTAGGTGAAAGGCTTGAATTTAAAAACGAGAAGTCGGAGCAAGGGTCCAACTTCACAAGCACGCGCTGGGAATATGGGAAGATATCTAAGCTACGGATCAGCGAAGGTTGATGTCTGACCTTATTGCGATATCACAATCGGCCTCTCTTACCAATGATCCCCGCCAGAAACGATATGCAACAGTCGCAGTGTCAGGTAGAGCCCTCTGACTGCAGCGTCAACGGCTCGGTGAGAACCCCTATCGAAGCAGCCAAGGTTGACGACCCTAGTGATTCCTGTATGGCTAGCTTCCGTTGTGAGGATCCCACATGGTCACTTCAGACCATCGGTTAGCAGGGCCGAAACACTTCATGTTGACCCCTAGTGGATCGGTGGTGGATGGTGAGGGCGGGACAGAGGCGTCAGTTGACGGCCTGGTAGGCTGGGGGCAGACCTCACGCGATCGTCTATGCCCTCAGTATGAGTACTGTCCTCACCCTTAGGATGAGGCCTCGCTGATGTCTTCCGGCCAGCACTACGTACCTAGTCGAAGCCTCAGTATAGTAAGCCCCCCGATGCCGCCGATGATGATGGTGACCATTATCAGTTATCTGCGCCTCCCCTCGGTAGTACACTGGGCTGCCTGCCTTCGGGACTGCATCAGTCGGCTAGACACGGGAGTATGACTCTACGACACAAAGTCGAGAAGGTCTCCGAAGGTATCGATTTGCTCCGACAGGTGATAAGGAGTACTTGTAAATGACTCACGTGGTCATATGTTGCGACATGGAGATAGCAGTAGCTGAATTGATAGTAGGCAAAAGTAGAACGCGGGACCTCCTGAATCGTAGCTGACCGCGCTACCTCTGGACTATATGACTGCTTATGTTTTTCAAGGCTCACAATGATGCAGCGTTCAGCGCTCATTCGAGGTGTGATGACCTTCAGAGAGACATCCAGGCTGTTCACGAGGGTATAGCGCAGTGGAAGGTGGAGGTGGCGGCCAGTGCTCGAGATCAACATCAGTAAGATTGGTGGCATCAACAGTCCCGACTGGTCTCAACCTAAGATACGTCAACGAGCTGAAGACCATCCTAGAAGGGCACATCAGGCGGAGCGAAACCTGCATCATACATGTTCAGAATCAACTCGAAAGAGCTGCCAAGAGGCAGGATCGGCTCGAGCACGCAGTACGTTTCGCCTTTCGGAAATGCTGCTGCCGGAATGCAAATCTGATCTCAGGTTCGACTGCTGGAGGCACAGGTCCTCCAATGATCTGAGCTATTTTTGTTGTTGACTATCATGATAACCGCAGTAGCATAGGCGTTGAAGTTGTTCCTGATTACTGGGCTTTGAGTTGAAAGCTTGTTGTTAGCGATGGGATGGGAATTTGTGATCGGAAAAAATAGTTTTTCATGAGGGAAATTTCGAATGTGGGAGATTCGTGGACATTCCAGCACACATGCTGGGGGAAGTTGTCTCAGCGGCTTGGTCCGCAAAATGCTGTCGAAGGCGTTAGCGTTACGTCGGCTGCCTTCCCCAGCGGCATCACGAGCGTTCTCGACTGCGGCGACAGAGGGCGGCATTTGGACGGCAGCAGAGGCGGGGGACGGACAGGCGCCTTTGCTGCAGGCCCATGACCTCTCTTTCTACCAGCAGTTCGATGTGCCTTCCCTCGGAAAGTATCATAATTACTACCCAGAGAATACACCGTCATTCAATCTGATGGAAAGGTAGTGAATGCCGCGCTCGCCTCTGGTACGACTCCTGTTCACCAGATGCGTGGATGAGGCCCATGCTAGAGGAGCGGAGTTGGCGTCTTCATATGACCCTTACCTTCCTGTGGACCTCATGCAGTCGCTCATCATTACTGTAGGGCCGCTACATCGCACAAGGCAATCGCTTTGGGGATGCCGATGGTCTTTCACGTCAGATCCATGACTACATGCCGGGACATAGCTGGATGGCATCAATAGCAGTAGCGGCCACTGTGGTGAGCGACGTGCTCCTGACACCATTTGGGGCTAGTGTCTATTGGTCTCAGGTTAGGATCATGGTATTACCACTGTTGATATCGTCTATGAGAGCTGGTCGGATCAAGCAAAGGATCATGCCTCAGCTGGATGTGAGCTGTCTCTAGTGGCACTGTGGCCTAGGAACTCATCAGGCGTTGAGTGCTGAGATGAAGGAAGCAGAAAAGAAGGGGAGTCAACAGCAACTCATACGGGCCCAAACGAAGTGATTTGGCGGTGCTTCTTGGAGTGTGATAAATGTTGTTGGTTTGTCTGCATCAGTGTTGGGAAATATGCACATGGTAAACTACATGTGTTGGTGACAATCTTGAAATTCCGAGGAAATTTTGGAAGTTTCTTCATTGTTTTTGTAAACTTCTACTTTAGCTCGGTATAATTAGTGAGGAAATTTGTGAACTCAGCTGAGGAGAGTAAATGTATATTCTCACACTGGTCTGTCCTGTAGATACTCTCAGTTCATAAAGGAGCACGGGTCAATGGTGACGATGAAGGGCATGATGGGCATGTTCGTACAAATACCAATATTCACTACTGCCTTCCTTTCCATGCGTCAGATGTCCAACCATCCTCATATATTCAAAGGTGAATCACCCGCTGGTTGTGACATCCAGCTTTCCGTGCGCTCAGGGTTCCCGATGGAGACGCCGTTATGGTTGGACTCATTGGCGCTCTCGGATCCGTAATAGTATCTAACTAAGTGTCCTGTGAAGATTTACTGTCAGGATAATAGTCTTGCCAGTGTTGGCCTCGGCCTTGCTATTGACTAATATAGAGTTCTTCGGATCGCTGGATTCAGCACAAGCAGCAGAAGCTGGGGACCGTCCTGATACCAAGAACAAGCTTGGTATGACATTCTCATTGTGTTATGGAGGTGCTCATGTGTTGCTGCAGGTATTGACCAGAAGACTATGCAGAAGTATTCCCGCCATGGTTTCCGAGCCCTTTGCGTCATTGCTCTTCCCGCCACAATGTACCTTCCTGCGGGCCTTTTTGTCTACACCTGTGAGCACCGGTGGAGGTACATTAATTTGAGTAGTTGTTCGCAGGCACGAATGCCCTGTGGGCAATCACCCAAAACCGTATACTGCGGCTGCCCATTGTAGAACAAGCTCTCAATATACCGCATAATGTAGGGTAGATGTAAGTGTGGACGAGAATGTCCTTTTGATACAGATAAAGAAAGAGGAGAAGAAGGATGAGACTTATTTCGACCCGGGCTCGATCGTCACCGTGGAAGAGGTGACAATGAACATTCCTGCTCCTGGCGTTCGCGATTCCCGACCTTCCTAGGCGCTGCGAATATCTAAAGAGAACAGTCAACGTGCTGAACAAATTGCTCGAATGAACTTAGAGCAGAAGCTTGCGCGGCGGCAGGCGCAGGTGAGGAGGTTTGTATGAGTCAGTGGTCTGGCATTATGACTATTAGGCGGCCGTTGAAGTCTCTCTCCCACGAATTGTGAGTATGAAGAGAAAGCAAAAGGGAGAGTGAGGGAGTTCATGTTAGTATGTTGTTTCTGGTCAAGTATTGGTGTTGCGCACAGCTTAAGTTTGTTTGTTTTACTAAAATGACGCATTCATGTTAGGGTTCAATGTTACCATCGAGTTCTTGTCACTTTTGAATTTACTGTCACTGCGGTGTGTTGCGTCCCCTAGCTCTCGTGGGAATAGAGGTGACGGTTAATTATGTCATTTCTGTCGAAATCCTGTCTATGGTTACAGTAGCATTTACTTTCGACGAAGTAACTTCCATCGGCCTACCGATATAACGTACATATTCAGTCGTTTACCTCAGTCGGTTAGAGCATCGCGTGGATGCACCAACTGGTTATCCCTTGGCTCTTATCAACCAATTCATACGAGCCACTAATTCCAGCTGGTCGGATGGGTGGAAACCCGATAGGTCACCCGAGTTCTTGATTAAGATCTGGTCTTAATGATTGGCGCAGCTTCGAGCACTGAGATCTTGCTAGGCCAAAACGAACTGTCGTTTCTATAGGAGCACGTAGTAGTAAAAACGAAGGCGACACATGGGCTTCGGGAATCATCGCGGGCATCTGTGGATCTAAACTGTCCTGAAGCTGATCAGCGAGGCACATTCTAACCTGCGCTCATTCCAACTGGGAGCAATTGAACCTACAAATGCAGAGACCATTCGAGACTGATTGACATCTACTCCTATGATTAATCCGGGCAGATTCGTTGGGACACGGTTGTGCAAGTGCATGAAGTGCGCACATCGAAGAATCGCCTGGTATTGCCACTGCGAGATCATATGATACCTTCGAGGAGTAATCGTAATCCCGATGATTATTAATGCTCCTCAGCAGGAAGGGATCGAGGTGAGACCGAACGCGTGATCTCGAGGCTCTCCAGTGCCGCGAAGATATGAAGGGTATCTTGGGGTATCTTACCGTTTCGTATCTACAGGGTCTGATGCGCAGCCGCGAGATTTTAGATATTCTACACTCTAACCGCATGTCGACGTCCCCCACTATCTTCCCGAGGCGGCTCAACTAGGCCTAAGTCTAATGTCCGCGCCGAGAGCAAGTGGAAGAAGCACTGTTTACTCTGCTGAGGAGGAGAAGACGGAGCTTCACCACACATGCCTTACTCTTCAACTTGATGTTGCCATGTGTTGTCAGTGTCATCCATGCTTCTACTATTTCTGGCGCTCTGCTGCTGACTAGCTCGGTTTTCTCTCAGTTCAGTACTCCCTAAGGCATAATGCGTATTTATCTTTACTCTTCCCTTGCGACAGTCGCTCAAGCCTTCGCAGCAGTAGAAGTAGCTGACCAATGCCATGAGTGAGTCGCATGCACTGAGATACCTTGACGTAGTTTTAGTTACTGTCGAGAGATCTTCGGAAGCGACTCCTACTGCCGGTACCACAACGATCGATACTACTGCCGAGGCGGTCTCCCTTCAACCTCTCCTTGCGTGCCTCGCGTCGATTGTAACTCACAAATCGTCGATTTTGTCATGAGTTCGTTCTCTCAGGTGCCATAGAGGGACCTGTGTCTGGTTCGGCTACTGCGCCCTTTTCTTCATCTATTGACGAACCGATCAGAGGTGGGCCTTCCATGCTCGTCTTGGTAATTGGCTCTTTACTGATCTCTTCAGAGGAACCCGCCCCAGCGCATGTCCAAGGCTCGAGTGGACTGACGGGCTGTGATAACTATTGCCAAGAGCTGAATCCTGGTGTCGTCACATACTGCAAGCTGTTCTCATCTCCACCGAGATGCAAGCACGGTAGTCAGCTGTGCCGACCGAACCAGGAGTGCACCACAGGTGAACATTTCGGACCTCTGTGAAGCGTTTAAGGTGTTTTCACTTCATTCGTTCCAGGCTACTATAACCCGTCGGCACCATCTGACCAACGGGTACCTGACGACTCAACGACCACGACGAAGAATATTATCCGAACAACGCCTGCCCCTACACAAGGTATCAGCTCCCTTCGCTGCATCCTCTGTCGACGGTCATCGAGCTTAGGTTCTGGGATGAACTCGCGATCTGGATGTGGAGGTGCCGCTCCAGGTGGCGAAGAAGATGTGTTTTGGTGGACAGAATGGCCCTCTGGACTGTACAGCAAAGCGCAGTGGACCGAGTAAGGTGGTTCGAGTCAAGGAGTCCTCTTGGTCTGCCGGTGTGTATGGCATTGGGGTTTCAATTGCCTGAGGTTAATTGATCAGATACTATCAGCGACTGCTGCGTCTCCTGACCTCCAACTGTGCATACATGCGCGTCACCAAACTCATCCTTCGAGTGCTACATCCCCAATTCCCTCCCGGTGTCTCATCCAGCGATAGGCTATGGTGAGTAGCCATAACTCGAGTCTGATGGCGACCACAACGATGTGACTGTCTCAAGGTATCCAGACGGCGATGTTACGAAGAGTATCATGTACACCGAGCTCCTCACAAAGCTTGGTGGTACAAGTGTTCGTAAGACTAGGCATTTCTCCAGCCAGCCCTTCGTGATTTCCTTCAGGTGAAGTGTTTATGCTCCCCTACGTCTTCGATGAGGTCTCAAGAGAGGGATGGTTGAGCATTGCCCCGACGAAGGGAAAAGTTATGTCTGGCGTTTTCCATCTATTGAAGGAGTATAACGCTAAATTATCGTCTATCCAGTTCTCGGGAGTGAGTGCGAATCTCTATGGAGTTCAGCAATGTATGTCAACTAGATTACAGTCGACTACGAGGAGATGAAGCATGTCCCAACTGAATATGATCTGTTCTGGGATCCCCAAGGTGAAGCAGATTTCAAGGACGGGACAAACTTCGAAGTTGGCGTTGCCATCGGTTTTGATCAAGTCGGTAGATTCAAGGAGTGGCCTTGGGTCAATAACTTGTATCTGGAGATGTAAGCCCAACCTAGTGTGCAAGTGGAGCGAAATTGCGTTTGCGTTATCTCATCTTAGGTATGATTTCTTCCGTCCTACTGCTTATATCAGTCAAACGGCCAATTCGAGGTTCCTATTGTACAAGAATAAGGCTAGCAAGATGGTCAACTATGTGGTTAACGAGGCCGTCGACAAGGTCGTCCAGGCAGCTTATGCGGACCATCGAAGCCGCGCTCACCTTATGTGGTCGTTGCAACATCAGGATGATGGATGTGTGTACCCACTGAACTCGGGTAAGTGCGGTTATAACAACGAGTTCGGCTCTTGGAATCCTGCACCCTTCAACGAGTTCCTTCGTCTCATCAAGAGCAAACTACCCCATAAGTCACAGGGAGTGTATCACTATGACTTCCTGCCGTATTCAATGATCCCCGAAGATATGCACCAGTGTCTGAGTAATGGTTGTTCCTAATCATCATTGGGAACTGTAAATTTCACTGGGTAGCAGACGTCTCCGTAGTAGTGTCATATTATTCAGTACATAGTCAGCCGCTCAAGTATATCCTACGGTTGTTATCCATTAATTCACCATACCAACTATATCGACTCGTCCAAATCGCTCTTAACCCTATTCGAAGCATCTGGTCTCGTCAATCCCTCTTAGCCATGTCAGGCAAGAGTAGAGAAGATGCTTGTTATTCGCTCTTTCGTCTATTTTTTTGAATTCGGTCTTTTCGTATTAATTATGGCCATGTGATGTAAGATGGTATGCAACACGGAACAGCTGCAATTTCAACCATATCCACGATGTTGAGCATTATTTCAGTGGAATGAATAATGAAGTATGTGTAGTACACTAAACCTGCACGATTGGCGCAGAAAGTACTAGATAAATGCTACTTGGTTAGGATGCTTGATATTTCCATATGATAATAGTAAATTATGGTATGTCAGTGAACATCAGCTGAAGAACATCGGCTTGAAGTGATCGAAATTTCACAGTGAAATCTACGTTACATGTTTTCTCAAGTCAATGTACGCGGTGGATGAATGACAGTGGGCGGTGAAGTTGTGAATTATCCTATTCCCATTAAGTAGATTGTTGCGCTCGCCAATATTATCGCACGCATTCACGAACGTTTCCTTCACTTTACCACTTTGGTGCACTCCAAATTACCAGGCGCGAATCCCCAACAGAAAGGAGGAAATGTTGGTTCGATGACAGGATCCAAAGAGGTCGAACCTAACCGTCTGCGTTCTGGTCAAATAACAAATGGCTCGCTCGTGAACTAGACGATAGTGGGAAGATTCGTGCATCATTTCAATCTTGCCCGACTGCAGTAGCAGCAGTTGCCTGAATGCTTCCTCCTCCCTAGGTCACTTACTAACACAAGAAATAGATGAATGGAGGTAGCTGTAGCTTCCTTGTGAATCGAATATAGTGAAAGAGTTGTTAATGGTGACAAATACCATGTGTAAGGGAGATAAGTTGATTGAATGCTGGCAAGTTGGGATCCAGGTCGCCTCTAAAATTACATAATGAGAGTAGGAGAACAGTTTACAAAACATATCAGAGACTGAATGGAAGAGACTATCTCTTGTGATCCCAAATCGCCCTAAACCCATTCTAAATCCACGACTTTTACTAAAGGACCCTCTTCCTCAGACGCTGAGGCCATCCATAGACAATTTCTCGTGAGGAACACCTTAGCAGACTCCTCCTCTTTCATGCTAACCACCTCTTTCACGTCGCCATTGATGAGATCGATGGTGATAAGAGCAAGTGTGGATGATGAGCCATCTTCGAAGTATGAGACAAGACCGATAGCGACGTGATCAGTGAGCCCAATGACTTGATGGACTCGGTGGATTTGAGGTAGATGAACCACGCGGGACCATGTAATCTCTGTACCATGCCGAAGGTCAGGAGGAGAAATGTCAGCGACCCAGATGCTATCCTCCATGGCGCATAAAAGTCTTGTAGTATCCTTGCACGCATGCACAGATATAGCTTGTATGAGCTCGCTGGGTACGGGTGCGAAAATCTTGAACCATTCACCCTCGTGTTCTTCCCGTGCACGCGGTCTGATATCAATCGAAGTTAAAACACCCGACCCTTTAGTCACAGAGTTGGCAACGAATAGACTGCCGTCACTAAAGGCAAGTAATGGTTTTGACCTAAGCAAGCCCTCTGCAGTCCAGCACGATACACTCACTTGCTGCTGGTCCTCATCTGCGGAACCTTCACGACGGAGTTCCATCACCCTCTTCCCATGATTCCATCGGAACGTATGAAGTACACCAGACCCGGGTTCGATCCCGGCAAGTTGCACATTCAGTGCAGAACTTTCCAGACTTCGAAAGGTATCACAGCCTCTCTCCATGGCAAAGATTCGGGCGTCATCTGTGGACTTGCAATAGACCACCCGACCATCACAAGCGACCAGGTCGGTGGCCGAGCCCTCCTGTATCGGAAGCCCTCCAATCTGGGCCTCGATCGCCGATACTGATGCAGGGGAGAGAGTCGGTACCCAAACCAAACACGTAAGGTATTCCCAAACAGAGCTGAGCATCTCCATAGGCGGCGTATTAGTAGCCGTCTTATGCTGGAGCCCGGCTATAAGGGCCGCTGTGGAGTGAGGCATGCTAAGAAAATCTACAATAACAAGTACTGTACCAAGACGTGAACACGGACCAAATCGTGGGTAGAAATTATAACAGTGGTGAACGAAGTGTTTCAAGATGCTGTGACGTGCGTATCACCACCACCACCGCCTCGGTCGTGCATTACTGCTGCTCTCACTAGCTCATCCCACACGCTATTTATTATACCATCCAGAGAGGCCGCAGAAGGCGGTGGAGGGCTGCGGGGCCGCTTCCCAAGAGTAGCTGCTGGTGTGGTAGACTTGTGTTGGCGACGAGTTGAGAGCAACTCCCTCTCTCGACGGCCCTTGAGGGCATCCAGCAACTCTTGATTGGCAGCCTTTATCCGGTCTCGTTCATCCCGAGCTGCCGACTGCTCCTTCCAGACCTTCTCCCTGACGAGGAATTATTACCCACAATTCGTCAAGACTCCAGTAATTAAAGCTCCGAATCGCCGGCACAACAATGTCATCATGCATTACAACTCCAGAGTGTAGATAACTGCCTGTTAGTACTCTATCTCAGAATATAGAGACTACCAATAACCACTAGATCGATGGGCCCAATCCTCCATCTAGGGTTTTCGGGTTTTCGGAAAGGCTAGGAAATGATGAAACAGAACTGGGGAAGCGACGGCTACGAGAACACTGTGGACAGTGATGGCAGGAAATATGAAAATTTCATAATAATTGCATCTACTACTGATTTTTATGTAGGATACCGTTGAACTAGGAGCAATAAAAGCAAAGCCTGTAGTACTTGGCTAGAAGATCCTCCCTTAGCCGACTCTGTTCGGCATTCTGCATCTGCCGCATAGACTCCTCTTGCTCTGATGCGGCCATCTTATCATCAATCGCTTGTCGCGTGGGAGGGTCCAGTAAGGATTCGTATCTGCCATACCACTCCTTTGCCTCATCGTGCCAATTGATCTCTACATGAGCGTGAGATTATTGAACATAGCCGCATAAAGTGCCTGCTGCTCCCCTGGGTTCTTATCAGGATGCAACTTCAATGCCCTCTTCCTATAAGCCCTCTTCACCACAGTAACCGTGGCTGTCTTGGAGACCCCTAGGATTTCATACGGGTTGAACCGTCTGCCCAAGTCGGAGGCATCGATGGGATGCCGAGGGGGATGGACGGCCGCCTTCTTCGAGGGGGATCCTATTGTCATTGGAACAGAAACTGAGAGCCGATGTGGGCGTGCAGATGGGAGGTAGGCGTGAAAGAACCCCGGGGAGCTGCACAATACTGGGTTATATAGAGTGCGGTTTGGGTTTACTACTCCCTAGACAACGACGCTCTTGAGTTAGCACTGGGAAGACTGGACCTTGAGCCAAGTGACACCGCAAGAGCATCTCGAAGAGAGAAGGGACAATGTAATTTCTATCAAATATGAAAGGTTTACATAGCTTCGAAAGCGATCCTTTGAAAATACCTTTGAGATAGCCTGCAGATGGCACGGACATGTTCAATGAGTACTCATGCCCCTGCAGAGGCCGATATTTAGCAACGACTGTCGTGTAGCTACAGCCTGTTGCCCTACCTTTTAATGCTTTGATGCGCAAGCACGACTACGCAAACACGGCTCTAGAATGAATTCTCCTAAGATGATTCGGACGTCGTTCCCAAATTCACAACAGCTTCATGAACCTAAGATGATGATGATGATTCCTTGAAGATGCGTGTTGTCGGAATTGTTTTTCACTCACGTCGCGTAATCTTTCGCGCGCCACGAAATTGGGTATAACTGTGAGGAGCGTAAGCATTTCCGAATTGCTCAAGGGTGGAACAAGGGAGCCTTGGAGCTCTCCGCCAAGGTAGCTCCCTTCCCCGCGCCTCAATGTGGGTAATTTCGTCATGCAGTCGCTTTCTAGACGGGCATACTCATTACTCGAACACTTGCGACTCGTTGGTGGTTGTCACAATTACAGGGGTGAGAATTGTCCCCATCATCCTAGGTCATCACATTCGTATGATTAAATCGTCTATGATGAACAACTACCTCTGAGCGCATGGTGCTGTGAGTATTACCTCTACTCTACATAATACAACGCGAGCTTTCGAATTTAGAGTTGACACCCCCTTGCATAGTCGCGACGTATCCCTTTCTAGTGTTGTGAGATTGTTGCCTACTTACGTACGGGTTCGTTTTTTTCCACGACTTTTATGAGGCATCTGCCTCGGGTGTATTCTCGCATCAATGGGGGATGGCAGTCCGCATGAATGATCTTGTCTTAAGGGTTATATTTATTACATGTTATAATATTTCAATAGTATACGTATTCAATATCTTTTATAACACATTTATATATCTATTTATTATATAATTATATTGTTAATAGATATCTATACAGCTATTTATATATTATAAACTATTTATTGTTGTTAGTTGAGTCATCACTGTTTATCATTGAAGAATGGCTGTGAGGTGTGCCTTTGAGAACTCAAACGAAGTGGGCGTCTTTGCCATGCTCACGAACTCCTACTGTATCGTGGCCCTAGGGGGCAGTGAGAACTTCTACTCAGCCTTCGAGAGTGAGTTGAAGCCCCATATACCGGTCGTTCACGCCACCATCGGAGGGACCAGGATACCTGGGCGAGTGTGTGTTGGTAACCGACATGGTCTGCTGGTGCCTAGCATTACTACTGATAATGAGCTGCAGCATTTAAGGAACGCATTGCCTGAGAGTGTTAAGGTAAGTAGAAGAGCTGAGGGGGAGGGTTCAGTAGGATGGTTGACAGATACAACGAGTGGAGGAGCGGCTGTCTGCCCTCGGCAACTGTATTGTTTGTAACGACTACGTCGCCTTGGTCCACCCTGATCTTGATAGGGAAACTGAGGAGATCATCCAAGACGTGTTAAAGGTAGTGTTGATGTTCTCTGTGGGAGTTTTGATATGCTATTGTAGGTTGAAGTTTTCCGTGGTGCTGTAGCTGGTAACGTGCTGGTCGGGACATACCTCACTCTCACTAACCAGGGAGGGCTGGTCCACCCTACGACCACTGTAGAGGAGATGGATGAACTCAGTCAGCTTCTACAGGTGAGTTATGTCTTTGGCAGCAGGAGTCGATGGGTAGAGACCTCATAGGTGCCTTTGACTGCTGGTACGGTTAACCGAGGGTCTGACTCGGTCGGTGCTGGTATGGTCGCCAATGATTGGGCTGCTTTCTGTGGGATGGACACCACTGCTACTGAGGTAATACTACTACTACTGCCTCTGCTAGGCTCGATGGTGATGGCTTGTGGTATTAGGTTGCGGTGATTGAGAGTATCTTCAAGCTCCAGCAGTTTACAAAGGAGGAACCTGGCAAGGAGGGTGCTAGTATGGCTGATGTTAATAAGTCGATCATTGACAACTACGCCTAGTTCTCGGATCATTGCCACTCACTCTTTACCAAGCCCTGTGAGGTGGTGTAGTAGGTGCTGCTGCTGCGCTGTTGCCTTTAACTCCTGCGGGGTATGGTTCTATTCAAAAGACCGTAGTCGTTTGGTTGTTAAGGGGGGGGGGGGGGGGGTTATCGAGGTTTCGGGAAAACAGTGTGAGTGTTTTCTTTGTCTGCATATGTCCGTGGCCTTCGATTTCCTCAATAGATTTTTCATCGTAACGGGTGCTGGCAAGGGCATTGGTCGTGACGTAGTACTATCCTTGTTGCATAACAATGCTAGAGTGTTGGCGGTGTCTAGGACTAGAACTGACCTGGAGGATCTGGTGGGTGCTGGTGGGGTAGTAGCTAGGTATTAGTCGATACTCATCTTTCGAACGGTTGAGAAATCACACGATCTTCCAGCTCTCCATTAGGGTTTCAAACGCTCTAATTCCCTCAGGAGTATCGTAGTGGAGATTAACTCGTCGAGGCTTCCGAAGGGTCTCGGGAGCCGTATGGTATTGTCACTTGTATTCAGGCATCATCTTTAGACGAGAATAAGGCAGGGCGACTTTCGCATCTGGCGGTGGATGTGTCTGATCATGCAGTGTTTGAGACGGCATTGAAGGACGCGTTGGAGCTGGAGGAGGAAGTTCACGGTCTGGTGAACTGTGCAGGAATTGCGGTAGGAGTGGTATGGAAAGTGACGTTGGGGTGATATTCCCTTTCAGAGGTTGGATTCTTTATTGGAGATGAGCAGTGAGTCTTTCGATACCCACATTGACACCAACCTTGGTGGGCCCTTTGTGGCTACTAAGGTGGTGGGCAATGCGATGAAGGATAGAGGAATCAAGGGCTCCATCGTAAGGAGGGAGAACTGGGCTCGTCTCGACTCGCGTGAGGTACTGTTGCAATATGACGTTATGTATGTTATGGAGTAGATCTGGTGGAGAAATCGGCTCAAAACTCGACGTAGTTTGGAAAATACTCCTCTGATGAGAAATCTGTGGTCTATAGTGATGAAATGTGATGATAGCCTTATACGGAAGCTTATGTACACTATACCATGAATACTACAGGTGTGGTGTACTGTAGGTGAATATGAGCTCTCAAGCTTCGTCGATAGCCTTACCCCGCCACACAGGGTATTGCTGTTCTAAGGCTGGGTTGGATATGCTCACTAAGATGACGGCTTTGGAGTTGGGTGGGTCTAGGGATGGTCAGCCTCATTGGGTGAACAGGTGTACAGGTCCATACGGCATCCGTTGCAACTCCGTGTGCCCTACAGTTGTGATGACCCCAATGGGCTTGAGGGTATGGGGAGTCGAGGATAAGGCCAAGCCCATGAGGGACCGTATACCCCTTGGGAGGTTCGCTGAGATGAGTGAGGTAGGTTCCATCTACCATGTGTGTAGTGACGGGGGATGGTTGGTGTTGTAGGTTACATCGGCCGTGCTATATCTCCTTAGTGATGCATCGTCTATGACGACTGGTAGTTCCATCAGTGTTGATGGTGGTTTTACTACTACTTGCACACTTAGTGGTTAAGGGTGTCTGGCAGGAGTAGTTTCTGTGGGTAGTGAGGTCTTGAGTAGGTTGCGTGCTTTATTGTGTAGTGGTTGAATGTGATGCCGATTTCACACCGTCACCATAGCAGTCACCGCAAGAGTCGGCGGTCCCCCAGGCTCACGGCGGGTGGAGATAAGATCTTGACTAGGCAGATGTTGCAGCTGAGGTGCCGCTCGGACCGGCTGGACATGATCACCAAGCTCAATCTCTGGGTGGGTACGAAGGAGTAGGGGCCAACTTGGGGCATGTGGTGGTAGGGCAGCGATTTGGGAGATGTGAGCGTCATTGGCGAGGCCCTGCCGGCGTTGGAGGTGTGCAGTCTTAGTGTGAACCGTATAAGGACGTTGAGTGGGTTCAAAGGATGTAAGGTTGGGCTTGAAGGGGAGCTGGTTCGGTCACTAGCATGATGCTATTGTGTGTAACGGGGAAAGAATTTGTGATGTTGTAGGTAACAGCCTCCGAGAGCTGTATCTGCGTAAAAACGCTGTGAGTGATGTGGAGGAAGTGGAGCACCTAAGGCGTCATTGTCGGTGTCTAGAGGTAGGCTAAGCCTGTTGCATATTGGTCGGAGGAGGGTGAGTAGATACTCCTGTTGGAGGACAACCCTTGCAGTGAGCATCCGGGGTATAGAGAGTATGTCATATCGAGGCTACCATGGCTGAGGATCCTGGACAATAAGGAGGTGGGCCACCAGCAGCAGGGCCCGGTGGGGATCACTGAGTGCTTTTGTATCAGATCACAGAGGAGGAGCGGCAAGCTGCGACAGCTTCTGTGTCGAGTCGATCGGCTGTGTCGGGTGGTGATGAGATGGAGGGTAGTGGGGATGGGGTAAGGGTTGGGCAGTGTGCTGGTGATTAGGTAGGGGAAGGCTGCCTTGGAGTAGTGGTGGACCGGGAGGGGAGTATTCCTTTGTGAGCTGTACAGAGGGAGGTGGCCATGGAGGGTAATAGGAGGGGGCTAGGAGGTACTGGAGAGGGGCTTGGTCGTAGGCAGTCCCCAGCTACCGAGGGGCCCAGCTTTCAAGAGTGTGATACCACCTACGATGGTGATGCTCGTCGAGGATCCTGGTGAGGAGATAAGATCAGTGTGGGGTGGTTGTTATACGCCTTGTAGGGCCCTAGAGGAGGCGTCTGCTATCGGCAGTGTCGGGAGGGGACGATGTTCGAGTGTAGGGGGACCGCTCTGGGAGGGTCTGCTGAGAGGTAAGCGTCTTAGCTGCTGACGATCAGTGAAGGGGTTTTGGGAAATATGTTCGCTTTCCTCAGCTGAGCTCAAGAGTTACCTCAACTAGAGCATTTTATGAAAGAATTCGGGTAGAAATGTACAAAAATGTCCCAAAATTTTCTTAAAATTTTCTCATCGCCATCAACACATGTGGTTGACCATGTACATATTGCTCATCGATACTGTTTGGTAGAACGACCTCATGGCAATGATGGTGTCCATGACGATACGTACGAGCTCTCGGTGTCGTACATCACTGAGGAGGCAGCTCGGCCGAGGGACTCCTTTGTATCGATGCGCTCCTCTTCTGTGGAGAGGGACCGTGGCTCTGTTGATCACCGTGGAGAGTCACTAGGGGGTAGGTGTACTGGGGGGAGGTGGGCGCAGTGGTTGTTGTAGTGAAACAGGAGGAGGTTGAGGAGGACGACTCATTGGAGGAAAGGGTCAGCTCTAGCAGTAGTGGTGGAAAAGATAATAACATTGTGACTGCTGGTAGGTTGGACTTGGGTGGTAAGTGGGGGAGGTATGTGTTAGTGTTGGCGTTGCTACGGGAGCTTGATGAGGAGTCGATGCTTAGAGTGAAGACGGAGGTGGATCGTCGGGTTGCGGCCTCCTCTCGGGGTGTGGCTGGGGCATAGGGGGATAGCATGTAAATGAATTCATAGGGTAGTTTCCTTGGATGTTGGTGTTGAGCTGGGGCTGATGGGGACTGTGATGTAGCTACTGCATCCTCTTTCATTAGACTACTATGGATGACCATGATGAGCACTGGCGACGAGTGAAAGCGATGGTTGAAGCTGATCCGGACATAGTGGTGACACGGAAGTACACCTTTGGGGTCTCCAACCTGAGGACGCGCTATAATGAGGAGTATCTGATGCTGATGCCCAAGTTTAGAGATAGATTGTATGGTAATCATATCGTTGAGAAAAGGCAAGGTCGAGCAAGAGAGCAAGATTAGATGTGGACATGTGTTGAAGTACTCACTGGAGTGCGTTTAGTGATGTTAATTTGAGGGGTGTGGAATTTTATGGCGCAGTGACGATTTTATGAGAAGGGGTGCAGGCGGCGACTTGGAGTTTGGATCTAGTCCTTCGCCATCACAGGCGTCTGAGGCTAGCGAGGCTGAGCTGGTATGGTGTCGCGATAGTGCGGTCTTCCTCCTCTTCATTAGACTGTAGGTACCATCAACGCCGATACGTGGTGGTGATGGAATGCTGTATAATGGAGGGGCTTCGTCGTCCTCGGTGTCACACGGGTTAGGAAGGGCAGCGGACGGGGGCTCTATCCTGGCCTCTCCGGAGACCCCTGCAAGGTGGGGTTCCTCAGCTGAGGGGAACTGCTGCTTTGACATATGTCAGACCGAGAGCCCCACCGCCACCTCAGGCAGCGGATGAGGACCCTGTAGCGCCCATCGGGGTTGCTGTGGATGACCCTCCACATGGGGTCCTCTTTATGGACTGGGCTGCTGCTAGTCGTAAGGACCTCAGCTGCTGGAATGTCGATCATTGTTGGGCGTATTAGTGCGAGATCTATTCGAGGTTATCATGGAATGGTCAGCAGCGTTTTAGCTCTAAGTGTGGTATGTATCAGCAGGGGGGGACAATATGCAGATGGTCAATTGCATGTGTTGGTGGCCATCTTGAAGCTCTGAGGAAATTTCTGGAGTTTCTCGTTGGTTTTCGTACATCTTCACCCGAACTCATGCGTAAAGTTTCATAATTTGTGAGGAAACTTCCAAGGAAAGAAGATATATAAAGTCCAACTATAGGGAGGGGGAGATACATCGTTCGTGGTTGACTGGTTTCATCCTCAGCCTTGGACGACACGCAGGCGTTGGATGCGAGCTCGAGTGGGGAAGGAGGCCGAGAAGTTGACCTTACGGTAGATATCTCTGAGGAAGGCTCGGCTGTTGCGGAATGTAGAGCGATGAGTGGTAGTGTGTGGAAGATATGTGATCAGACCAAATTGAGGACCCATTGTCGCAGGGCACAGTGGAGAGGTGGGGGCTCGGGTGTGGGGAGTAGGAGCGTAGTTTATCCTCTTTTTTCCAGTCCTGAGAAAGACCCTTGCCGTCGGGGATGCTGTGCTCTTCTGCCTGGACGTAGGAGTCAGTTCTCGTTGGTCTGGGCTCTGATTTGTGATGAGGATTGGTTGGGAGGCTCTCTGTAGGTGTTTGTGAGGCCCACCTGGTCCTGTTGAGCAGCTGTAGGCCCACTATGGACGTGCCCCATGTGGTGCATCTTGGGAAGGAGGTGAGTTGAGGAGGAGGGGGTCCATGAGGGTGGCGATGGAGCAGTTCTGGCCCTCAGAGATGCACTATCGGTCGAGCAGTGGAGTCAGATGTGTATTTGGACTCGGTGGCCTATCCTAGGACGCTGAGTAGGGAGCATGCTGTTATTGAGAGGAGAGGTGAGCCGTGCTTGACCGCGCGCCACGAAATTGTCAATGGAAATGAAGAGGTTGGATGTTACATGAATGACCCGAACTCATTGAGGGTAATTTTGTGGCGCGTGACGGTGTATTAATCGTAGGTCCTTGCAACTTCATCGTGAAGGACCTCCGTAGCGTAAACGGCGTGTATGTTAATGGCAAGGCTATTAAGGATGA